ATTTGACATCTGAGGACCTGAATGGTTTCATATTCAGCAGCTCGGGGGTCTCAAAACGAGCAGTTGGCCCTTAGCTGTTCACCCATAACACTAATCTTAATGCTTAAACAGATTCAATCAATCCGCAGACGGTGCAGCGTAGGCGGAGATGTCCACCACAGGTGCAGGAGCAACTTTGGTAATCCTGCAAACAACATCAACAACATAATCGCTCACACATCAAAAAAAAAAAAAAAAAAAAAAATGCTGCGTATAGAGAAACTGTCTTGTGCTAATCCACCGGTGCTTATGCGTGGTGACTCACCGGACTCGAACTGAGGGGGACCGACTGAGTCACCGGGGGCCTTTTCAGGGTCAGTGTCTCTTTTCCATGAAACTGCAATAACGTGAGCCAAGACCAATCTGTCTCAAGACCATACATGTTTGCATCAACCTGGCCACATTTTGGAAATGTTAACCCGAGCATTTTGGTCAAAGGATGTCAGACGTTGTATTCGTTGTGTTTGTATAATTGTTTTGCCAAATTTTCATGATGGTCGTACACAAAGAAATATTATTATATTGTATTTTTTTTCTTCCAAATCCTCAAATGAACCTTTTGATTCCTCCAGTGACGAGTAAACAAGACAAAAAAAACAAAACAACAAATCATTCTTAGCTCATGGGGAAGAGTACATGCGCATGCCATGTCTGAAAGTGACTCAAGACAAAACGCCCTGCACCCTAATGCCAGACTGCTAATTACTGATACCCAACCTGAGAAATAAGCCCAGCTGTCAATACCTACGTCTGCTGCATTGGTCAGATTTTGGGGCGAAGCTGTAAAATATTCAGATCGATTAAATGTGCGCTGGAGGCAAAGACTTTATGATGCTCTCAAGAACGGGTAAACCACGATCCCATCGCAGTACTCCGGAAGGCAGATAATTAAAGAGGAGAGGAAGGGATCAAGGGAGTGCTGTAGGTTGAAAATGAAAGTACAGATGTGGGCGTTGGAAAAGAGATGGGATGAAAAAGGGGTTAGCAAATTACAGTAAGCGTGTTGAATAAATGATTTAAATGTCACACCTTAGCCAGTGCTCACACATGATGAGTCCACTAAATAGGCCTGCAAATTTAGCTTGGAAAGTAATTATACATAGATTCTTTCTAGTATGGGAATAACGAATAAATTGTAATTATGCCTCACTGCAAAATTTCTTCATCCAGGAAATAAAGCTATTATCAAGTCTTGAATTACATGAAACCAAAAGAGCAATTTGTAAAGAGATATTAGCCCCTTTTGAATCTTATAAAGGAGAGAATCCCTCTTGCTCAGTGCTCATCTCTCGCTCGCTGTCGAAGCACAGTGTAGGTCCCTCAGTGGTAAGTGATGGAAAGGACAAAATTGGCTATTTTCAGGACAATGACTTATTTGAAATTCAAACAACTCTTCACAGCCATCGTAGCACCTTTGAGAGGACGGGAGACAAGAGGAGTCTCTTTCATCCGACTAAACGCCTTCGAGGTGAGCCTCAGCCTTGACATTAAACAACAACAGCCGTGAAACCGGCACCACTCAAAGGACCGTAATGGAGTCAGTGGCTGCATTTGTCTTTGTAAGCAATATGTTTATGCTAATGCTCTGCGGCTGACTTTAATAGAGGATGTAAGTGACACTCTTTGCGATGGGACACATGCGCACAGACAATCTGTTGAATTAGACCGCAAGCATTATTTCAACCATTCCTAGGCTTAGCTGGTGTGCCTGCGTACAGTCTATTATATTAATGTAATATGATAATTATTACTTATTACATGAGAAATTATCAAAAAAAATGAACAAGAGCTATATCTTGATTGCTGCCCATTTTCTCCTTCAAGTTCCTGAACTGACTTCCAAACAGGAAAAACCTTCACATTTAATGACCTAAAAATGTCATTGTGTTTAAAAATACTGTACTTATAAGGAGACAGCCAATAACCTTAAAGAAGGTAGGCGTTGAACTGCAAATCTTGTACATTGGCATGAAGCATAAAACCAGATATTTTTTCAGCTAATTTTAACGAAGAAAAGTATGCAAAAAGTTGTCAAGTCGGGGTTGTATTTGTGAGCAACTGTGCGCTTTGCCCTAATCCTCATCTTCTTCTTCCCAACAGGCAGCAAGGAAAATTAATCTGAAACCTACTGTGCTCAAAGGCGTTTGCAGCTGAGACATCTTTCCTTTCTCACACTGCCAGTGGCACTTTGGAAACACTCACCATCTCAGCGCTCCCATCAGCATGTGCATCTGAATTCGCCACATTCAGCAAGGCAACTCCCAAAGCAGACACCCACACACACACACGGGCGCACATGCACACACAAACACGCACACAAACACACAGCCAACCCAAAACAGCAACGCAATTCCAGGGCCTTAGTAGTATCCCTTTGCTTTTCTGATAATAAGAGAGTCCTTGGCTGCTTTTTCATTTCCAATCTCAGAGCTCTGCACTGAAAATGCCATGAAATAGACCCCCAAGCCCGACCCCTGGTGTGATATGGAATAACCTGCAGAGAACCTCAGCTGCTGAATTTGATGTTCAATGCAGCTTTTAACTGCTACTATTTCCGAAAAAAGGTAGGTAAGTGGAAATGTGAATGGTTGACAATTGGAATGCTTCGCACATGCATGCATTCACTTAGTGTATGCAAAAAATAAAAAAAAAAATACATAGAAACATACACACACACACACACACACACACACACACAAATACAAGCACAAATATTGCGTGTGAACACACAAACGGACAAGGCAGCCCAGTGGGCAGAGGGATAATAGAGGAAGACTGTGTAAATCCCATATGTGCTTAATCCAGACACTTACAAGAGAGTGTGATTCATACTCTATTACACTCGACTAATACAGCTGAGAGACGCACAGGGCACAATCATTTCAGCAGGCATGAACTGAAATAAATAAATAAATAAATAAATAAATAAATAAATAAATAAATAAATGAAATGACACCCATGAATCCTATTTACGAGGACTTTTCTGAAGAGGGTGCAAAAGGTCAGGAATAAACCCTTTGTACTTATTAGCCATTAAACACTGGTGGTGCCACACCTATTTCCATGTGTGTATTTGTTGGCGTGTTTTTGTGTGTGTGTTTGTGTGTGTGTGTGTGTGTGTGTGTGTATATGCATCACTCTGTCTGGGAACGTGTGCACAGATAACAAGGGGTTTGCATCCGATTAATGGAGGGGATTTCTCCGCGGGACCATGCAAGTCTCCACTATATAAAGTGTTTATTATACAGAGCTTATTATACAGTCTTTTTCTGCAGATTGCATTATTCTCAGACTATTTTCCTCACAGGTAGTCGGGCGTGAGATTGATGAGGTTGTTAAAGTTCTACATAACAAAACTTTTGTCCTTCAGTTAAGTTTAATAAAGACAATTTTGGCTTGATTTATGTTGCATTGTTGAATATTGCAAAATGCACCTAAATCCACACGTTTGAGCTAATAGCTTTTGAGTAAACACATTTTAACAAGTGGACTAATTTTGTGTTGCTCTCCTTTCCAAAACATTAGTGAAATCCTTCCCACTGGGCATGTTTACAGTACTCTACTGCATAATCTCCATTCATTTGTTTCACATAATGTCAAGTGGAGTCAGTATTGTTATGGCATTTTTGTGGCTTTATAAAAAAAAACAATCTAACCTTCATGTTTCATTTGTTTCATTTTGGTCTGTAACCTTTCACAGTAGGCTACCTTGTCAAAATACACCACCGAAAAGCTAACTAAGTGCAAAACAAGATCGAGTCCATAGCTAATGACTGTGCTGTATACTACAAAATGTTAAAATGGGAATTTGGTTATTTTTAACCAACGTAATGCTCTGACACAAGGGCATGGTGCTGTAGCATCCAGGGCTCAGGTGACTGGGTTTGTTCTTTTACCTGAAATTTAATTTGTACTGCACTGGATGTGCTAGAGGCAGTTCCAGCTAAGTACAAGAGGACCGCGGTGAAGGGCACTTGCACAGCAGGGTGCAGGGTTGACTTTGAGGGTGTGCGGGCTGTTTCTGATGTTTCTAACTTGATTTGAAAAACAATTTGAAACTTTTGAGTATGTGTCTTTTGATTCAGATAGAAAGGTGCAGGAAAAAAAAAAAAGATTTCAGCCACAACTTCCTTTCCATGGGTCACATTCAACCCGCTCCATGGTTTGCACTGATCATGTTTGCACTTGAAATATAAATCAATGACAGCAAGCCACCGCTGCTATCGACGCTGGCCTGCTCCCTGCACCACTACTGATCTTGAAATCTGATGGAATTACAGCTGTGTTTATCCATCCATCTCCACTTTCCAACTATCCAAATATGCACAACAAACAATTCTGACAGTAAGGTAAAATGGACAGCACGCAAACACAAAACGAGAGACATTACAGTCCAAATTGCTCATTGCAAGTGATGCTCTCCACTGTGTATCCTGTTTGAGACAAAACATGTCGGAAAGAGAGCTGACCATATCTATCTCACCGCCTCAGCACTAGGGTTTGTGTGTGTGTGTGTGTGTGTAAGGTTTAAAGATAAAATAAAAAAAATAATGATAGCCACATACTATTCATCCCCAGACAAAAGGTTTTAAAGACTGCATGAAAACAGGCTTTGGCGTGTGTGTATGTGTGTGTGTGTGTGTGTGTGTGTGTGTGTGTGTGTGTTCTTGTCTGTTTTTCTGTACTGTGAATACACTGGCTGTGAAGGAAAACGCAGACACATGAAATGTGGAACAGATGCTATGACACAACAAAGATAACTGCTTATTCAAGTGACAAACACACAGGAATACAGAGGAGTTTTTTTCAGGTTCCTCTCCAACCTAAAAAATAACATAAAATAAAATGCTGTTTCTGTGTGTTTTGTGAATTTCTCACCCACCACAAACCTAACCCAGGGAATGCTCTATACGACTGCAACTGTTCTGTTCCTGCTGCTGTCTGACGATCCCCAACTCACCTTTCTTGTCCCCGAAGAAGAGGGTTTGCTGTGCCGGGTTTGACCACTGGAGGGAGGTGTTGTCATTATACTCCACACGGCAGGTCAGGTTTGCCGTCCCACCCTCTGTCACCGTCACATTCTGAACCAGAGGGTACTGACCGCTGATGCCTGCAACACGACACCATGAGAGAAAAGAGTAAGAGGAGATGAGGATGCATCGAGAGGGAGAAATACAGAGTGAGACAGATGGTACGTTTTTATTGCTTGATTTGTAAGGTTGCTTTGTTAATTAAACGTGTGTAATAAACAACAGCAATCCTATAGAATTAAGACCGTGAAGGTAAACTATAAAGCAATGGGATTTTTTTTGCCCAGTTGGTTCATGAAGACGTACAATAAAATTAAGAAAAGACTTTTCAGTCACTGGAGGACTAAATCAACTCCTCACACTGCAGGACAGAGAGAAGGAATCTGGTTTATGTCTTTGAGAAAAGCTTAACACCCTAATTACAAAGCCAATGTTCATGCAGGATGGCCAGTCACTACTGTGTGCTAAATTGGACCCTAACATAGAAGAAACAGGGGGCATTTAGCCTTCAGTACCAACCCTGAAACCTCAGCTTCACAGGAAGGACCAATTAAAAACTGTTCTCCGCGGACTCGTGTGCATTTGTGGATTTTGGGTTTGTGTAATCCCTGCATCGAATGAGAGAAACAGAGGGACAAACAGCGCTACTGTGATTCTGTGCGACCTCGAAACCGAGCAGAGCTACTTTTCAGCACCACGGACAGTTCGCTTTTGCAACTGGTTCATCAAGAGCTGCCTGACAGTTTTCAGAACTTTGGACAGCTCCCACTGTTGTATCTGCGTGTGTGTGTGTGTGTGTGTGTGTGTGTGTGTGGGTGGTAGGGTGTGTTTATATGCTTTAGTGTGTGTGTGTGTGCGAGTGTGTGAGAGGGAGGCTGAGGGAGCAACTAAGCAAGTAAATAATAATAACCATAAATCTATTTCTGTCCTCATCCCCCAGAGGACAGGTTTTAAAGACTGTGTGAATAAAGTCTTAGGTAAGAAAGATTATTCATCCCCAGCTAACTCTCCCGTCTTAAACCAACAACCCCGCAGGAGAGGATCATAAAGACTGAAAAAAAAGAAAGAAAAACATATATGGGGGAAAAAAAATGAAATAAGAAACATTCAGAATTGAGGAGTTTTTAAAAGCTACAACTTCCACTTCCGTGTGATTCAGTCTGATACCTGTTCGACCACTGCTCATGTATTCCACCAAATGCAACACTGTAATCATCATCATCAGCCAAGTTTGTCTTTTTGCGTTTTCTTGTTTTTGCGTTAACGATTGCACAAGAAAGATAAATAACGCCCCCCAACCCCCCACAACAAATAGCGCTTGTCTGCAGGGTGAGCGGCTGAAGCAAACCCCATCACAGAGAGACCCGAGGTGAAGGACATGTTGAGAGGAGAGAAGATGAGGTGAAGGAGGGAAGGAGAGTCAGAGAGAGGTAAGTCAAGGAGCACGGGTCATTTCCAGTGTTGATTAAAGCCTCCCGAGGTTAATCATGCATGTGAGAGATAGAGAGGGAAGAGGAGGAGAAATGGAGGAAAAATGGATCTGCGCTATGGGAGGCTAGGAATATGTTTTATTCATGAAAGTTTTGCATGAGGCATGATCTGCCAACGATTTACCATTCTCCCGCGCCTGCCCTCGCTCTCTTTATTACTTCCTCTCTTTAAATCACTTACTTTTTCTCATTTTTCTCACTCACACAGTTGTGCGACATACAGCCCAGTGTGATACATTTTATTTCTTTTGTGCCGGCCACAAAGGAAAGCTAATGGTTTACCACCACACCGAATGGTAGCAATGAGGATATCTGAGCGAGCTTCTGCACCATATGACGTGATGTATAATTTTAGTTCATTACTGCAGTTGGATGTGTCACTGCAAAAATGTCATTGAGAATGGAGACACTCTGGGGATCTGCTCGCTTGTTGTATTGTCAACTCTTTGCTCATCCCTGCAAATAAGAATCTGCTGGTTTGTTCTCCAAAATATCTGCTTTTGACAAACAAGGAAACTTAACATTTGAGCGATTTAATGGTTATAGCAAAGTGCTGCACATGCCTCTGGGCAAAATGGCTGCTTCCAAAAAATATGTTTTATTTATTCAGAATGCACTGAAGACAATGGAACACGAACACAACACATTAACAAGAGCATTTGATATGGTTTGGAGCAATATTTCTGCACAGTTTAAGATCCGGTAAAACAGACAGAATGAGTGCTCTGGAGAAAATCTATGATGCTGCTGTAAAGATCAGTCTAAGCTCTATACACTACAGGTGGCACACCTGAGACCCTGCATCCATTTGTTGCTATAAGTTAGAAGGACGAAAAGCAAAAAAAAAGAAAGAAAGTAGAAAGTAGAAACATTAAAGTTTCTTTTTGCCCTTCTTTCCCTTTTCTCATCTCGTCTCGTCTCCAGTGCTCCCAGTGCCTAAACAAAGTTACAATAGTCTGGGGATCCCTAACCCTGCCCGAACCCGCGTCAGTGTCTGGTGCTACACGTCCAGTGGGACTGAAAGGGCCAAAGGAGCCACAATGATGGTTATATTAGAACAATGCAGTGATCTGTGCGCCTAATTGGCCAGTGGAGTAGGTTCCTCCATTCCCCCCTCTGGCCACCCAGACCTGATTTAAATGTATCTCCTGAGGGAAGGAGGCAGCTGTTCTCTCCTGATTTCCATGTCTAATTTTAGGTCCTTCCCTCACTCCAGCTCCACTCTTTCTCCTACTTTCGGTTTCTTGCTCGATCTTTTCCAGTTCACATCCATTCCACTCAATTCCCCTCTCTCTGTTCCTCTCTCTCCCTCTGTCACGTTTCCTCCCCTAGTTGATCCCTGAAGGGTGGCATTTCCACTTTCTTTGTCTCTCATTTTCTTATTCTCTCGCTCTCTCTTTCTGCTCCCCGGTCTTTCAAATTTATCTTGATCCTACCTCCTTTCTTGTGCTCAGTTGTGCTCTATCTCTCATTGAGAGAGGGGTCAGTTTAATTGCCCTCCACTTTGACTGACATGCCAGGGGTAAGCCAGGTCAACAACGTCCTCATCTGTATGACATTATGAAGTAATGGCTTAATGAAATTAGCTTTGCTTTATTTTGCATGAATAGGATAATATATGTCGCCATGAATGGCACATGCTATAGAGTAATGCAAGTCAACTATTGCAATGCGGGTTGCAGCTGCCTCTAAACAAATAGCAAATCATTATTTCCTCTAGAGACACAAAACCAGATCACATTTTCACGCTTTAACCCTCCACACAGCTGTCTCCCCAGATGAGCTGAATCTTAAGTTTTAATGGCACCACTCAGTACCCTCCCTCCCTCAGTATAAGCACTGGCAACTAATCAAGGCTGGCCGCAAAGCTTCCGCACATTTGGACTTGTGCCTTCCAACTGCACAAAGCACTGCATCCAATAGTTCTCAACTCCCTGAACTGCTACTTATCCCAGAAGCATATGCCTGTGCGGGGAGTAGAGATATTCACGGGACACAAAGGCACATTCAGACACACCAGTACATGTTGCCAGAGCAAACTACTGGACAAATAATACTGATAAGAGTATCCTGAATGCTTCCTGTCTGCTCTCTGACATGACCTTTCAAGCAAGAGCAGCTGAGTCTACTAACCTTTCTTATTTAGGCATTCAAGAAGAAGAGGAATAGAGAGAGATGCAGGCAGACAGACGGACAGCCTGGAGCTACTGACCTTTATACCGGGACTGGAGCTCAACTGATTTATGATGTATGGCTGGGAATACAGGATTACAAAATGGATAGGGGCAGTCCACGGTTTTGATTAGCTGAGTCACCTTTTAAGCCGACCGAACATCAACAGATAAACGCAGACATGGGACGGTGGGACTGCAAATTTACATTTAATCAATAATTCCACTTTATTATTATAGCTCAGGCTTTGTTTTTGCAGCAGCAACCATCATTTTCATCTGTTATGAAAATACTCACCGGTAATTTTTACCTGGACATAAAACCTACATTTATTTCCAACACATTTTGATGGTAATAATCTGTCATTACAAGCACAGAAGTTGAGCCGGAGAGTTGGTCTATAAAGTTTGATGAATGTTTGCAGGGGACAGATCTCACACAGGTTTTTGCTAAAACCTGTCTGATTGTCTGAGCCTTGGTTGTTTTGTTTTCTCGCCCACATGACTCCTTTTAAGTGACAGAGTTCTATTGGTAAAATGATTAGAACTTCACAGGTAGAGTATGAGTTGTAATGGGATTGTTTACTGATCCCATAACTGATAGGTAGGATGGCAAAAAAAACCCACCAAACATAGAACTCAATTTGTATTACAACACAATTAGCCTTTAAGTAATCAAGCTTAGTGAAAATCACTATTTATAGAACTACACTGCTTAAAAAAGATTTCATTATTATTTATTTCCAATTAAAGGTAAAAACACATTGTGAAAACATGCTGTTGTTTTCATTACAATTAGGGCGAATAAATCAATATTGCAGTTATTTTGGCAGATATCAAGATTGTGATATGCGATTGCTATTTCAGTTGGAATGGTCATTTATACATTTCATTTTCAGATCAAGAAAATATATAAAAATTATGATGTGATTTTTGTTGGGTCTTTTACCACCGCAATTCTTATGGTGCTCACAATGCACAACAATGTTTTGACACCTTTTACCTCACCAGCTCCTGCTTTGTTTTTTTCTTTTTTTTTTGCAGCTCCTGCAATTTGGATATTGCACTCAGCCATATTGCGATTTCGACTATATTTCGATTAATTGTGCTGCCCTAATGATAATAATTATGTGTTAAAAATGTGCATTTCAAACCACATGTAGGCACCCATAAGACTTAGGTACTCACTGGCACTTAAAGCATGACCTCATGCGGCCCACTGTTCACAAAGCATCTTCCTTTATTATTGCATAGGACATGACGCCTTTGCTGTGACCAGTTAGTGTCTACTGGGTCACACAGGTGGCCACACAGCTGGGTACACAAGCTTCTCAGACTGAGTGATTCTCAGGGTGGTCTAGTGATTGGAGAGACTACACAAGGTCAAGAGTTTGATCATCTCAAGAGCTGGTATGAATT